AATTACCCATTTTTTTGTAGCAATCGTCACTTGAATCATGAGGGTTTGGCCGTTGGATGTTTGGGTAGTCGGGCTCTATTAACTTTCCTCGTTTTTTCTTTGGCACACAGAGAGAATTGAGGAAGAAAGGTAATTCATTCCCTTAGATGCATTACAATTTATAAAACACCAACACCCACACACTGGCTGCCAGCTGTAAAGATGCTTAGTAACAAATTAAAATCAATCTTCTAACCACATGCATAAGTCACATCACACAGATATCACACATTTAACGTGCATACAAATATCCCATGCATTCAACATGCATACATCACCATAGGATAACATTCACCCACTTTATCATATTTCAAAATCCAAACCATCAACAACATTAAGCTTGTGTCAAAATTACAAAAATTGAGGCTTAGTGAGAGGCTTTGTAAAGCCATATGCAAGTTGATGCAGACCAGGGACATAACAAACAAACAAAGCTCCACTAGCTACTTTTTCATGAACAAAGTGAACATCAAGTTCAACATGTTTAGACCGAACATGTAAAACTGGATTAGCACTCATGGCAAATGCACTTGTATTATCGCTCCAAATAATTGGAACATCCACACAAACAACTCATATATATCCAAGTAGACAACATAACCATGTCACCTCATAAACGACATCAACAACCCCTCGACTTCAGTAGTCGACCGAGACACCGATTTTTGTTTGCGTGAAGTCCAAAAAATAAGATTACCACCAAGATAAACGTAATATCCAGAAATCGATCTACAATCATCTGAATTACTACCCCAATCAGCATCAGAAAATGTACGCAAACGAAGATCTGATGTAGAAGCTCGAAAGACTAAACGAAGATCTTAAATAGCGAAGTATTCGCTCCATCGCCAACCAGTGTTCTTTAAAAGGATAATGCATATATTGAGTAACTCACCCAACACTAAAGGAGACATTCAGTCTTGTTTGGCTCAAATAAAGGAGAGTACCCACCATACTGCGATACAACTGAGGATCATCAAGGGGAGGTCTAGCATCACGCAAAAGTTTATGAGTAAAAACCATATCAACCTTTTCAAGTAACTCACGAATATATTTCCTTTGACTCAAGAGCAAAATATCATCATGTTGTTTAACCTCAAGTCCAAGGAAGAAATTTAACTCTCCAAGGTCCTTCAATGAAAACTCACGACCAAGAGAGGTTACAACCTCCTCAATCAACTCGTCGGACCCTCCCGTGACTATAATGTCATCAACATACACCAAAACATATATATAGTAGCCACCACTTTGCTGAATAAACATGGAAGTATCAGCTCGAGTCCCTTTAAAACTAATACTCAATAGAAAATCTTGAAGTTTAGAATATCAATTACAAGGAGCCTGCTTTAAACCATACAACACCTTCTCTAACCTAAACACAAGCTTGTCCCCATTCAAAAACTCTTGCTCAAAGCATGAAGGTTGTACCATAAACACGTCCTCAACCAAATCTCCATTAAGAAAAGTTTTATTGACATCAATTTGTCGTAACTTCCAAACATGTTTAACTGCCAAAGAAAGAACAACATTAATAGTAGATGACTTCACCACCGAATTGAATGTATCTTGAAAATCATGTCCTGGAACTTGAGAAAAACCCTTTTTCACCAACTGCGCTTTATATCAAGCAATCAAGCCATCCAGATTCTTTTTAATTCGAAATAACCACTTACAACCAATATGAACCCGATCAACCGTAATTGATATCAGAGCGAAGTGAGGAAGAAAGATAATTTGTTACATTAACTACAACTTATAAAACACCAGCAGCCACTCACTAGCTGCCAGCTGTAAAGATGCTTAGTAACAAATTAAAAATAATCTCCGAACCACCTACACACGCCACATCATACATATATTACATATTTAACGTGCATGCAAATAACTCATGCATTCAACATACATACATCACCATAGGGTAACAAGCGCCATTAAGATTTCGACCGATTGACGACGGTTGTGGCAACAGATGGTGGTGAGGGTATTAAAATTAGGATTTTTCGGGATTTTTGAGATTTTTTTATAATTTTAAAAAGAATTGAGTTTTTTTATAAAAATAATAATTTTAAGGATTTTTGAAATATTTTTTTTGAAATTTTATATGGCTGACAGTGCTAGATAACGATCAAATTTAATGGCATTTACGATACAGACACCTAAAAGTGTAACATTATAAACGTTAGACACCTTTTTTTAACGAAATTTTTTTTAAGTACCTAATGTTAATTTTAGATAAAATTTCGACACATTTTTATATTAAGCCATATTTAATTAATGATTGTTTTGATATGAGATATTGCGCAATAAGGATGACAAGTGATAGGGGTGGCCACTAAAATGTCCAATTTCATACAAACAAATATATTTTTGTACAATTAAATGTGTATTTTTTATTTTTAAAATTCTCATTCAAAATATCTTATTAGAAAAATCAACAAATAATAACACTTACATTTTCTTTTTTACCCTTGTATGTCTCATTTACTCATATTAAAATAAATCTATCAATTCTATCAATCACCTTTTAATGATAATTTTAGCATTTCTCTTAATAAAATATGCTTTCCAAAACTATGTGAATAGTTAATATAAAACACAAATTATTAGACAAAGAGAATATAAAAATATTAATAAAATATTAGTTGACACCTATGTAGCATCTTTAAAATTAGGGGTGTTCAAATCGGTTAATCCGGTTAACCGATCAAACTGAATTACTCAAAATTCATTAACCGATTTTTTTTCGTTAATCAAATCGAAAATTTTCAAAAAAAATAACAAAATCGAAGTAAATTCGGTTAATTGGTCGGTTAACCGAATTAACCGAAATTTATAAATAACATAAATTATATATTAAATATCTAATATTTCTGACTTATTTGGTTAATTCGATTGGTTAATTTTGTTAAAATCGAAGTTTAAAAACCCCTAAAACTAAATAATATATATAATATATTAAATATTTAATAATTTTGGGTAATTCATTTAATTAATAGATTTCGAACGAATTAAGCGATAACCAAAGTTTAAAAAAACCATTAACCATTAACTCACTGAACCCAAAATTAACCGATCAAAATTTTAGTTTAGTCGGTTAATTCGGTTTTAACCCAATTATAAGCACCCCTATTTAAAATTAGTAAAAATATTTACCCTTTTACTAATACTAGTTGAGAAAATGGAGAAGTAATAAAAAAATTTAATGTCTAAAATTTAATGAATAAATTAAAAATCTAATTTTAAAAATCAAATAAATTTAAACCAGTTAGGTTATGACATATCAAAAAACTTAATAGATGTATATAAAGTTAATCTTTTTAGAAGGGGTTAAATTAATCACTAATTTCAAATAAAAACTTAATTTTTTTAATTTATTACTTTACGAAAACAATTATGTTTAAGAAAAATTATACGAAATGAACAGCTCAATTGGAAAATCGGCTTATTTACTTAAATATCACAAATTTAAAATTTATTGAGTGACATCAGTGATTAAAAGAAAATTTATTATTTAAGAGATTTTGAGTTCGAGTAATTGCGCCTACAGAATATATGTACGTTGTTAATAACTAAAAGAATTACGATAATATATTATTTTGTAATCACTCCAAATTATTTAAAAAAGTTAATACTTATTTTAATATTCTTTTATAATTAGATTTTAAAATAATACCTTTTCGATATATATATATATATATATATATATAATATCTTTAAAATACACAATTTATAAAAATATCTTCTCCTAATATGACAGTCCAATCAACAATTTACTCGTATCAAACGAAAAAACAATTTATATAAAACATTTTTAAAAGGAAAATACTTGGTCAGGGTATACTTAAAATTTATTTGAGATTTACATAGGAATTTGCAGATTGTTTATCAGAATGACGATGGTAAGATTCAAACTTAACCTTACAAGCTCAAATTCTTAAATCTCAACTACTTATGTGAACCTCGTGAGAAGGAAAATACTTTTCTAATAGATCTATGTCTTCTGTATATGTAATCGAAAAGAGTGCTAATTCAAAAATAATCATAAATAAATGTTAAAACGGATATTAATTTTTTTTTATAGATGATATTTAAGTAAACAGGCATGGGAAGCCATACGTCTTCATTTTCATACCAAATGAACAAGTGTAGCAGAGACACTCAGGCGGTCCCCTTTTTCATGCCCAAAAAGAAGGGATCAACGTGCTTCTGCGTGGAGGACATGCACATTTCCATGTCTTCATACCACAACTAAACTTTCATGAGATTATAACACAAAATAAAGAATTTAGTTAGATAACGAGTTTTTTTTAATAATATACTGTGGTAATCATATCAACATACGGTCGTGACCAAAATTTGGACTGTATTGGCTGCTAAATAATTGGTATTGTTTTAGGTAAAATCATCAATTTATTAATATTTTTTTGGACGAAATTATTATCTTATGAATTTATTAAATGAATTGATTGATAAAATATGTGTTTTCTTAAATATTATGAGTTTGAATAATAATATTTGTAGGTATATATATGTATTATTAATAACTAAAAAAGAACTTAGACAATTAAATTGTTGATTTAATTGGTAAACAGTTTGATATCGTTTAAGTAAGACTTGAGTTTGAGTTATTGTGTATGCATAAAATTCATGATGAGAGACTCACTCATTAAAATCAGGTGGACGATGCAAATTTATATGAATAATCAGGATGGAACATTGGAATCGAGAGGAAAAAAATTGACAAAATTATCTTATGATTATTTTAAACTATTAAAATATTATTTTATTATGAATATTAATAGCAGCCTCCTAGTTGGCGTCATGACAGGCTCCTTCAAATAATAATCTTTGAATCTTTTGACTGAAGGCTCAAATAAATTATTCAAGGTTGGCGCAAGCTTCAACTTCGGCCTATAAATTGCGTATCATAGAATCGGAACAAAACACCAAAAATTGTTATCATGGGTTCCCATCGCAATGAAATAGCCACCGAGATCCTCCCTTTCATCCGAGTTTACAAAGATGGCTCGGTCCAGAGATTGTCTGGCTCTCCTCTGGTCCAACCATCTGCCTCCGACCCTGAAACCGGCGTCTCATCAAAGGACATCATCGTATCTGAAAACCCACCAATCTCAGCCAGAATCTACCTTCCAAAACAGACACTCGACCAAAAGCTCCCCCTTTTAGTCTACTTCCATGGCGGAGGCTTTTGCTTCGAGTCGGCTTTCTCTTTCGTCGAAACCAAGTACATGAACCGCTTGTCTTGTTCAGCCAACGCTGTTGTCATCTCAATCGAGTATAGGCTAGCCCCCGAGCACCCTCTCCCCATTGCTTATGAAGATTGCTGGACTGCTCTACAATGGGTCGTTTCTCATAATTCCAATGGCGATTCCAACAAGGAGCATTGGTTATCAACTTACGCCGATTTCGATCGAGTCTACGTCGGCGGTGACAGCGCCGGTGCCAACCTTGTTCATAACACACTGATGAGAGCCGGATCAGAGGGCTTAAGCGGTGGTGTTAAAATCAAGGGAGCTTTTCTAACACACCCTTATTTTTGGGGTTCAAACCCGGTTGGTTCCGAGACTAAGGATATCAAAGAACGGGAGAAGCTGGCAATGTACACTATTTGGCAGTTGGTGTATCCGGATGTGGCTGGTGGGATCGATAATCCGGTTTTGAATCCGGTGGTTGCCGGAGCTCCGAGCTTGGCCGGACTTGGATGTTCGAGGCTGCTTGTCAGTGTGGCTGAAAAGGATTTAATGAGGGATAGAAGGATTTTGTATTATGATGCGGTGAAGGAAAGTGGGTGGAAGGGGGAATTGGAGTTGGTGGATGTTGAAGGAGAAGATCATGCCTTCCATATTTTGGTTCACGAATCTGATCATGCTAAGAAATTGATCCAACATCTGGCTTCTTTCCTTGTTTGATGTGTAGGACATGGAAGAAAAACCAAAGCCTCACTCCTACATCATGAGATATGCACTATAGATTTGTTTGAGTTGCTTTACTCGAAGCTTCATAATAATATTGAAAACATCTACGGTAAACTATACATTTAGTAATCTTGGTATCAAAACTTTTAATTTTTTTAAAATCATGTTTAACGTTTATTTTTTATTTTATTTTAGTACTTTATCGTTAAACTAAACACGCTTAGTACATAAATCATAAGTTTTGGTCCGTTTTAGTACCTAAATTTTTATTTTTTTTTCAAAACTTAACATTAAATTTTGAACATGGTACTAAAGTGAAACAAAAACTGAACTTTAGGTATGGTTTTGAAAAAAATTAAAAGTTTATGTACTAAAATGGACGGACCAAAATTGATAGTTTAATTAGGAACTAAACTCATAATTTACCCAAAATTTTAAGATAAAGTATACAAATAATCCTTCAACTATTGATTGTTGCTTTATTGAGTTCTTTAACTATAGGCTTCTGTTTTATTGAATCTTTTGATGGCTAAAAGTTGCAAAACAATAATTTGATTATTCATGTTTCAAACTTGACATTTTCCATTAAAAAATTAACGATCATTATGATAAAATCATATTTTAATGATATTTACCGGTACTGTCGTTGTTTTCAAGCACTAGTTCAATTGCATAATGTTTCTAACTCGACGACATAATATAAATTGAGAGTCAATCCATAAAATATATCTCAAACAGTTTTAGGATCAAATTTTATCATATCTCAGTCAACAGATTAACATCCAACTCAGTCGACTGCCAATTTTCTAACAAAAAGGGACGAGTTTAGAATATATGAATAGTCATATGATAATTTTATAACTTTTAATAATCGGATAACTCAACAAAATAAATGTTTTATAATCATAGAACTATTTTATATTTAACTTTTGATAATCAGAAGACTCAATAAAGTAGCATTTTATAATCAATTGATCATTTGTATACTTTTCTCAAAATTTAATCGAAATCTGTCTTTAATTCCCATAATACATTAACCGATTGCGGTGCATGGTGCGTGTCAAATAGGGGACATGTGCTGTTCCTAAATGCAAGGCAAGCTGGCGGTTGCAATTGGGGACATCAAATCCCACTCCACGGATGTACCGAGGGTTGCTGGGAGGATCACACCCTAAAAATTTAAAATTTTCTTGTATTTTAAATATTTTTTTATATTTTATATGAATTATTTAGTTTCGCACTCATGGGATTTTACAATCTCTTACCTGTAACGTCTCAAAATCGGGTCTAGCAGTTAGGGCCGATTTCGGATCGATTTTCGAATTTTGGATAAAAAAAAGTACATTAACTTTACCACAATATTAAAAAAGAAAGAAAGAAAGAAAGAAAAATATTAAAATTTATATTTTGGTTTAGTAAATATTTTGGAAAGGTTTTAAGTGGTTTTATATATTTGATTTTAATTTTGGAAGTTAAATTAATTGGTTTGGTGACTAGATTGAAAAAATTGGAAATTGTAATTTTAGTGACCATTTTGTAAATTACCACAATATCCAAAGTCTATGAAACAATTTTACCAAGGCTTATATTTAGAGTTTTACTCCTAAACTTAAAGTACTTTAACTTCTCCTTTTTTACCACAATTCCATCTAAATTCATTTTAATACAAATTACATTTTCTTAATTACTTGTTTTCATTCCCGTATTCTTCATTTTCTCTCATTTTCGCAATTTGGTAACTTATCTTAACTCTCATTTTCTCTTAACCTAACTGATCAGTTCCTTTTCTTTTTTTTTCCCTCTTCTTCATTTCTAAATTCACTGTCCTTAATCTTGTTTTCAATTCTCAAAGATTCTCTTTTCTTATCTTGATCGTTTTAAGGCTTGATCACAATGGAGTTCCATTGTTGATCTCATTTTCAATCCATTTTCAGCAAGGTAAGGATCTTCTCCTTGGTTTTATTTCATGATTCGAAGACAAGTGATTTTGTGTTAATGATTTTGTGGAATTATTGATTTAACTGACAAGAGTTCAATTGATTTTCGGTGTTAATTAATGTGCTGATTTCTTGAGATGATTTTGAGATTTTCTTAATGAAATTGAGTTGTTTTTGGAGTGATTATAATCATATTAAAATAGTTTTCAATTGCTATTGATTTCTTGAAATAACGTGGAATTTCGGTGTTTTTGGGAATCCGGGAATATAGGTTTGTGAATGTTGATTTTTGTGGTTTTAATTGGATTAGATGTTGATTTTAGTTGTTGATTATCATATATTGTAAAGGAGAAGTGATGCAAAGATTTTCAGTAATTTTGATGTTTTCTCTCTGTTTTAGAAACAATGAATTCTGCTCTATTTTAGAATAGATTGTAATGTGTTATTTTTCTTTTCAAGGTCCTTATTATGTTAGTTGTTGGGGAGATTTTGTGCTTGGTGTTTGGTGAGCGTTTGGGAGCGTTGGGAGCTTTTTCGATTTTCGGATAGCAAGGTGAGTGACTCATTCTTAGAAATGGTTATGATTCAAGGTTGAGGTTTGTCTAGTTGACGCATTTGATTAATTCTGATATGTTTATGTGATTTGGATAATGATGTTGTTGATGGTATGAGTTATGTTGATTTGTATGTGATGACACGTATATCGAAAATGTGAATATGAAATAGGAGTTATGTCGAATTGTGTACCATGCGATATATCGGGAATGTGAAAGTGAAATGTGATTGTGAAATGTGAAATGTGATTGTGAAATGTGAAATGTGAATGTGAGAAGTGAATGTGAAATGTGAATGTGTGGTATTGTGTTGTAAATGATGCATATGATTTTGAAAGTGTTTTCCGAAAATCTATATATATTCTGAATATGTGATTGGATGAGATGAACTTTCTCACTGTCCATATGTGAGTTGATCATGATCACCAATTCTGATGTGTGGTCCAAAGCGAATGTGAATATATTATTGGACGAGTTGAACTTTTCACTGTCCACATATGTGTGTGATCATGACAACTATCCGTAAGTGTGTTTCACAATTTATTTGAATCAATTTGTGAAAACTATGCATTATTGACAACCAATCTTTGTACACTTGGATTAATTGGCTATTGTTATTAATAGGACATTTGGATATGAAAGGCATACCTTGGAAAGAGTACTCTATGTGTTTTGTATAAGTGTGTGTGATTCGGGATTATGCAGGGTTTGGTTGGTACGTTGAGCTTTGGTCTGAGAAGATACGAGGTTTGGTTGGGCGTAGAGCTTTGCTCTGTAATTCGTGATTTTGGGCCTATGTGAATCCGTAAACAAAATGGGAGTTGTATGGAGTCCGTTTATCCAATGTGTTACTTGTGTTTCGAACAAAGGCCATTAATCTTAAAATGAAAGTATGTGTGTTTTGTGTGTGCCTTGCCAAGGAATGTGATTGTGCATGAGTGCTTGTAAATGCCACGACTTGAGTAATTATGTAACATTGGTAAATTATGGAAATTATGTGCATTTAGAATATGTAATTGATCATTTAAGCATGTCGTGATGTTACTGGAGCGATGAGGTAAGAACATATTAAACATGAGCATATACGGCCATGCTTCGTCTTGACTATGTGCATTGTCTTTGAATGATTGTCATCCACTGGGATTTATTAGCTCACACTCGTTGTTAACACTTTTCAGAGTAATGAAATCGAGCGGAGGTGAAAGATTTGGCATCGGGAGTGATCAAGCAAGGCAAAGGTTCAATAAAGTGTATGTGTTTTCATAAAGCTAAGTGTGGTAATGGGGTGATGTTTGCGACATAGGCATATATGTGGGATTGATGACTTTTAATGTATGGACTAGACTTGTAACACTTGCTTTATACTTGAAGATTGATGATGGTTTAATATGTTGATTTGAGAATGTTATGCTAAGAACTTGTTTAACTAAAGCATGTGAATATTCAAATGGTTTGCTTCCGTAAAATGCGTATAATGTGGATGTGGATCCGTCCAACACGATTGGAACCTAATGTACGCTCAGGTATCCGATTATTTTTTTGTTTCAATTATGTATTTAAATTTGACTTTCAAGTTTAATTTTATACTTCAAGATTTTTTTTTGTTCTAATTAGATACTTCAGTTTAACTTGTTAGTTCAAATTGATACGTATGATAAATAGTTTATTTGAACCAAATTGAATAAGAAAGTATAGTTCAAATATCAATTTTAACTAAAAACCAACTCCAAGAACCTAATTGGATAAAAAAGATCAAATATCAAATTGAATCTTAAATCAAATTTAAGTGCCTAATTGACAAAGAAAAAACTTATCAAATTAGACATCAAAACCAAGTTGAAGTATCAAACTATATATATATATATATATATATATATATATATATATATATATATATATATATATAAAACTGGAAAAAAAAGGAAACACAGAATCCAAAAGGCAGGTGGGCATGGAATCTTATAGGATGTGAGTGAAGAAAGCCCAAGCAGGGTAGACCAGCAGAAGAATTATGCCAATTGTGTTTGATATTCCATTGACTTTAGTGAATGAATTCCGAAAGCCACCCGATGCCCTGATGTGCTCCTGAAGCAGATAAGCAGCAATGGCTAGGCATATCACCACACCAATCCATCCGTCCCTTATAGTGCCGGAAAACAAGCTCGGCGCCACCACGATCAGCAGTATCAAAGCGCCCGGAAGTTCAAGCCAATCTGGGAGGTCAAGAACAAGGAAGCAATTTGTATGTCTTAATTCCACAATGATTGGACGGTTGAGATTATAAATAGAAATGATTTTGGGAATTTTGTAAATTTTAGATTTTGGGTTGAGTTTTGCAAGTTTTAAATAAACTTTGGGAGGATCTAAACCGATAAAATAGTAAAAGACGAGGAGATGGGTTTATCGATGTCTTGAGTTGTCGGAGAAGACACCAAAGAATAGCAATTTCAACGACAACGTGATACAAGAATTAAATCGTAAAATTTTCATCTTTGAAGGAAAAATATTAAATCAAAAAAATAA